GGACTCTCGGCCCTTCCTGCCCGTCTCTTCAACTCCTAGCCACACCGCGAACCTCAAGCTCGGCTAGACGGTGTCGAGTCTGACTAACCAACAGATGCACGCGCTGCATGAACCCTAGATGCAGCTGCAATAACCTTTATCTGCAGGTTGTTCGCTGATTCGCTGCTGCGAATTCGATGAGCTCGCTCTGCAAGCAGGCAAGGAGTAACAGTCAACTGAGTTTCATGATTGTCCCAACATCTTTGTACAAACCCTGAACTGTACTGTTGCTCGTCGGTTTTAAGGTCGGTTCCCGAGTGCCGTAAGCTCGACAACCGTAAGATGTGGAGGTTCATGTAGTGTGAGTAGGCTCATCGAAGTCCAATTGAGATGGAATCTACGAGTCCCAGTCCGTCCCCAGCTCGCAGTGAGAATGAGGTAGAAGGCCGCGGCCCGGCACAATACCCGATGATGCACGTGCAAGACCATGAGTCCGTGTTTCTTCTATGACGCAACTTTTCCGAGTTTCGGGTCAGCCCCTGAAGTTGTTGTGAGAGGGGTTGACTCAGACAGGAAATTTGTGTAACAGCCTATGCCCCTGAAGCGCCATTACTTACGATCGAAGGGTTTGCGGTCCTCTAGCAGCTATAGCAAGATCTTGCACTCTATCCCTAAGTGATAGCATGCAGGAAGCTCCACTGGCTGGCAAGCGCGCGGCTGCTGGCCTTTACATCGCCACACCCCGATGCCTTGATTTAACTTTGCGGCCCTAAAGCGAAGCACCAAACACGTGGGGCACTCCAAGGGCTAGACACCCTGCAACTCCAAGCATAGAGCTATCTGCCAGCATCCCCCACCCTTCAGGCAACAAGTCACTTCAAAACCCACGGAACTTAGCGACGAAGCTGGAAATAATTGCTTGAACAGCTCACCAAGTGAGCACCCGGTTGTTGAGGTCCCTTTGGCATGCATTCGGCTGGAGCCATAACCTGACGATTAGAGCTCCGAACATGATGGCCCCACACCAAATGCCGGTTCCCGTGGCTTATGATAAAGACGTAGGATCTTCAGAGGTGCACAGGTCGAACAACGGGTTTAGGGGCAGTGTGTTGGGTATGTATGAAGTCGGTGTGCAAGCGCCGAACACTTCATCCAACATTCTCCTCTGCGGTTCCAAAATTTCGTGCTGAAGCAACTCTGCCCGACAAGTCGACCTGCCAAAGGACCTAATTCAGCAATGCCTCCGTTTCCCAGGAGACGATGTCTCCACGGTATTATGTAAGCCGACCTAGGCAAGCATGGTGTTTGGGCGAACGCATGTAACAGACCCACGAGCATGCCTTCAATTGCTCTACAGCACAGGTTCCAAGTTCCCTGAATAGGTACTCACGCCCCCAGTTCGAAGTCACCCTCCACGCGTTGCCAGACCTTACTTAGTAGCCTTACTTTTGCATTTATATAAACTGTAGTAGCATCCACTGCAGTCTCTTTGCAAGTCTCCGTCGTCATGCTCGCTTGTTGAATTCAGTGTAGACCCACTATGCATCTGGTCGAAGACCTTTTGCAAAGTCGTTGATCTTGGTAAACTGCCGGTGGACCACAGGGTGACTCTGTAAAGTGTTGACATGTCATCGTCATGTGCCTTGAAGGAGGCTCGATTGAACGAGTTTGTGTGCAGGAATGGCATATGATGCCTATGTGGGCATGGTTAATATGCATCGCTTTATGAACAGAATGATTCTGAAGTCTGTTGGAATTCGAAGGAGTATGCAGTAACCGTCATATGCACTAACAGTCATGTGGAATCCTTAAATGATGTTATCCCCGTTGCCTGACACAGACATCCTCCGGCGTCCTCGCGGTTTTGAGTTACTATTCGCTGAATTCAAATCCTGCCGTTCCTACTTTCTACTAGCCTCTAGTGCATCAATATCATGTCTTGGTCCGGTCGATACAGCAGGATCTGCAGTTTTCAAGAGAGAGCCAGAGAGAGCAGTCTTGTGACAGAAGTGGAAGCACCGCAGGACAACAAGAGCGTACAGGCCGTGTTAGGAGTTTCCGATCTCGAGGGTGGTGTTTGGACATTCAGCTTTTCTGAGGTTTTTTCGAGATTCAAGGTGGCAAATGGAAGCATAGTTTCGTATACTTTTTGGCCGGCCTTTTGACAATTTTGATAAGGTGCAACTGCAATCTTACCCTTCCATTGCCTAAGTTTCGGGTGTGGATTTGCTTCGCGGCCGATGGAGGATGGTCGAGCATCCTCGCTAAAGCTGACATTTGCCGATCTGCCTTGATTCAAAACAGAGGTCGAGCGATGTTAAAGCACGTCAAGCTTTCGAGCGATCTTGAAGCATGGCAAGCTTTCAAGGCTACCGAGTCCAATACTTATGCCGCCAGCTACGGACAGTGTCACAGTTCCGGTGCTGCAAAAACAGGTCGTGACAGTTTCAGGCTACATCAGCATCAGCATCGTTCAAGCCTTTTCGTCGTGCCAACGTGCAGTGCTCCAATGTCGGGCCCACAACTGCGAAACAGGAGTGGGTTGAGAGAGCCACGCTGCATGCTGCATGAGCCTTTTGACAACCCTCCTTCCTAAACCCATGCTTGCATTCAAGAGCCCCCGCGTTCAAGAAGACCCAGGTGCTTCGCACCTGGGTGGTTCTTACCCCTACGAGCCGTTATGTGCATGTAGCTATGCGTGCATGCATGCACGTCTATACAGTTACATATAATACATAAAATTATCTGGATACGTAGTTGCGATTAAGACTAGGATAACAATACATTATCATTATTCTCATTATTATTATTGTGATAATAATGATTATTATTGTTATCAATATCTTTCTTTATTGTTATTATTATATTGTTGTGAGTACCATTGTTATGTTTATAATTATGTTGATGGTTAGTTTAAAACTGTTACTTTTAGGCTAAGGATTAGTGTTGTTGTGACAAACTATGATTGTTACTATTGTTCGTTCATCGTTTCTCATTACTCTTGCTGTTATTCTTGCTTTTTGTGATTAGAGTTATGTTTTGTAATTGTTGGCATTATGATTTTTGGTCATATATCACAAGAGTTATCACACTATTAGTGCGGAACAATTATCGTGAGAGATCACATGCACGTCATAGCTAAGGAGGAAGTACGGACACACACACACACGCATACACATGTGTGTGTGTGTGTATTGACACATATATATATATACACACACACGCGCACGTACTGTATGCCAGCAATCTGTTCTTACTACTAGTAGTAAGGCACAGGCCCTTACAGTGCAAACATGCGAAGTGCATGTTGTATTCCTGGCGCACATGTTAAACTTCCGTGCTCTTGTCGCGAAACTGCTCTTCGTCTGTTTATGCTACCACCAGACTCCAATGATTGTGTGCATGGGTATCATCTTCCAGGATCGCTGGCGTCTCTCCTTTGGCACGGGCGAGTGCAAGAAGCAAAGAGGAGGCACTGAAACCAGAAGCCTTGAGACAGGGCCCCGAAGACTCGGAATTGTAAAGGCAACAGACAGCTGCCCATATTGTGCTATATGAACATCTTTTCCTGTACACTGTATCCCCACTCAGAATGGCAAACGCCGGTTCCAGGTGTGGTTGCAGAAACGATTCGTTCAGTGCATTGCTGCATGCTGTCGGACTGAGCAGCAACTGGTTGAGGATGTTGCGAAAATTCTCAAAGATGCGGATACCAACGATGACAGCATGTCCGGAGCTTACTGATGTGAAGCCGCAAACGCTGCTTGCTTCTGCGCATGCATTGCTACTCAGGCTGTCGCTGCAGGACTGGCCGCAGCACAAAAAGTTGTGGCCGTAGCAGCATGGTGGATCTCCCGACTCGCATAGGACAAGTTGAATGATCTGAAATTGATCGGTGCAACTGCAGAAGTCCCCTCAAAGCTTTCCGTGAGCCTGAGGGTGCGCAGAACGGTGCCGTGGTGTCGTGGTGCTGCAAACCGTTCCCCCGATTCCCTATGTACCTGCTTTGTAATTATTGTAATTAATACCATTCTCCTGGGCGTGCAGCTGTACCACACAATGGGTACTTCAAGGCGGTTGTATTATACCACTACTGCCACGACCTCCGCCGTAGCTACCGCGATCACCACCACGACCGGCACCGCGAGACAAGGAGGCCGATGACGACTTGACTACTTTCTACAATTGCCGGAAGGCCTGCTGCTGCTGCCGGCTCGCACTCTGCCACTCATGAAATACGATGACCCCAACCCGACACTACGAGTGCGTTCGCGATCGCCACGACGACGATTACACCGAAAACACTTGAACCACTACCACTACCACTACCACT